TTAGAATGCTCGGGCAACTTAAGGACTTATAAGTTAGTTATAGAGAACTTATGAAAGTTAGCTGTAGGGAAGTTAGGCGGAACTTATAAGTTACTTATAAGTTACTTAACTTTTTTAACTTGTTTGCTCAGCTTCTGCGCATTATCATGTTCGTTTGTGTTTTACGTGTTTTTTATAGCGCGCTTTGCATCCAATTTCTTCAGCCATGGTGGGTTCGATCACGAATTTCTTCAGCCGGCAGCGTGTCAGAGGCCGTTTTTCCTACTCGAGCAGCCAGATGTGCGTGGTGTTGCCAATGCGCTCTTCGCGCATGTGCATGGCCCGAGGCGCTGACGCTACACTTTCTATATGGACAGCGTGCAATCTAAGCGTGCTCGCGCGTGTCCATTTCGATCGTCCCGACCGGGTCGTGTTGAAATGAAGGTCTGCTGGTTCCAAGACGTGGATCAGCAGAAGGATGCGCGAGTCCACGGAGGTTACCCCGAGCACTTCAAAGGCTTCCGCAGGGGAGGGGATCAAAACATCCCCTCTTGAGATTGTGTCTGGGCCAAGAGCTCGCGGGGCCAGGGTGGCTGGAGCAGTGGCGCCCAGCGCAGCGCCGACGTCCACGTTCTCAGTCGTCCGACCGTCCAGGCGCCACAGAAGCCTCTTGGCTGGCTGCTTGGAGCGGAGTTCAGCGCTTGCTAACTCGAGCAAGCACTGCTGGGAAAAGCGTGCTAGCATTTGTTGCCTTCTTGCGACACGTTTGAAAGCGCGGTGCTTTCTCTCACAAGTGAAGCAGTCAACCAAGCGACCCCACTTCCAGCACTGCTGCTGCAGGTGCAAGGAATAATGCAGCTTGGGCCGGACCTTATCAGCGCCGTAGACAGCCGCAAAGCTTCTGATGTGCTCAGCTTGCAGCCGAGCCAGATGAGAGCCATGGGCAGTGTCGCGCTTCGTTTCGAGGACGCACAAGCACACGCGGTGCAACGCTTCAAGAGAGGAGTGCTCCCGGCGCATGTCTGCGCAGAGGCCAATGGCAATGTCTTCGCTAAACTGCACACAAATGGAAAGCACAAACAGCGCTTGGCCCGCATCTCCTCGAAAGTCGGCCCCCTCCCTCCAAAGGTGGACTGTGAACAGACTCAAGAGGTTTATGCCCCGCGCCCGCCCGACTCCATGCCAGCCTAGCTCTACGTAGCGCCGCATGTCTGTGAGGCTGAGGTTAGCCTTGCGGCGCAGGGCTGTGTACCAGTAGCCCAGCTCTTGCCCCACTATGCCGTTGGACCAAAGCGCGTGCATTGCGTCAAACGTGCAGGAATCTAGCTCGCACCATTCTTGCATGTCGGGAGCAAGAAGAAAAGAGGCAGAAGCTTCTTCCAGCTTCCAGCCCAGGAGCTTTTCGGCCTCGCCGAGGGAAGTTTTCGTAGGCATGGTTGACAGGTGGTCAATCGCAGCGCGGAGGCTGTTTTGAGTCTGTGGCACGAAGCTTGTTATGTCTGGCTCGGCCACTGTCACGTGCCATCGGACGTTGCCGTAGCCAGTGTTCATAACATTGGCACACTTCAGGCATGGCTTCATACCCGAAGATCCTTTGCAGCCAGTGGCAGCGCGCAGGCCTTCGTGGTCTGCGAGAAGAAGCACGCGGTCGAAAAACAGGAGCTCCGCCGAGCCAGAAAGCTCCACCGGGACACCGCTGACTGTCTCCGCCCGCACAGCTCGCAGTAGCGCCGCAGCGAGAGTGACCATGCCATGCCGCAAAGCACTGATTTCTGACGTCCGGCTCACGGACAAGGTGAGCCAAGTGTCCTCAAGGTAAATATGCGGCAGTTGGAGGATGGTCCAGTACGTAAGGTTGGATTTCCGAGCATTGTCGGGAGAGAGCACATTCCCAGGCGTGCGTTCGTCCAGGTACACCACCAGCGTCAGCTGGTTGTCCCTTTCCTGGGCTATTGCGCGGAGGCAGTCATGGAACAGTGGACAAGCGTTGCACTTAGCCTGCAGCACGCCGGCTACAGACATGTAGCTGACTTGGACTTTGGATGCGGGATCCTTGGCCGGCAGGTCCATGACCTGAAGGTGCTCCATCACCTCGCCATGCACCTCATCACGTCGTTGCTGCACGCGTGTGCCCCGCCCATCCGCGTCCAGCACCGCAACGATCTGGCGACACTGAGCCGGGCCGATGGATGGAATCTGGCGCAGCGTGTGGAACTGGCTTGCGGCACTGGCGGTGCTGCGAGGATCACGTGGTCTTTTGGCCATAGCTTTTGAGAAACAGCAAAAAAAATCGAAAAGCAAACGCTGTATGTATAGGTCTTCGCTTTGAGTGTAGTGTGACAAGCCCAACATGCAGACACGTTCGCTTCATGACCCTAAACCCAATGGCATCCTCTGCAGCGGTTATTGCTTGAGGGGACTGAGCTATACCACAGACTGCGGCCCTTACCGAAACGCCAAAAGCGCGGCACAAAGCTGCCAGAGCTGCGATGACTTTTCTCTATATACCCAGGCTAATGCAAGTCTTGCGGCGCCGGCGCGCGTCTACACAACACGCTTGCCACAAGACGCAGGACTAAAGCAAACGTGCTGAATTATTGCGACATGCGTTTTATAAAAGCCCCGCCTCACTTTGCGCGCCGACGCTTCGGCTGCGCCGACACGTCTGCAGGGCCATCCCCCTGCTCGGGCGCCGCCCGCTTGCGTGCCGGCGCACTGACTTTAACAGACTTGAGCACCTCTCGCGCACAAGCCAAAGCGGGCTTGAGATCATCGGCCGTGAAGGGAAGCGAGGCGAGCCCCTGTGGCTCCTGGGATGGCTTCTCCTGCTCGTGCTGTACCAGAAGATCCCGGCAGGCAGCCAGCCAGCATGTAAGCTTTGCCTTGCTGTCGGTCAACGCTTGCTCAAGACCAGACCGACTTGCGTCCGAGGGACGCTTGGCCACGCAGGCCAAAGACTTCTCCAGCGCGGCGCAAACCGGGTGGAGGCAGCTCACGGCTTTCGCAGCCAGCGCTGCGGCTTTGGTGTTTTGGCTCGCGACTTTTTTAGCCACTTGCGCCTGTCGCTTGTGCTCCGCTGTGACAGACTTCGTGCTATTGCACTCAGCCTTCGGGGGCAGAGGGAGATCGAGATCCAAGGCCTCTTCATCTGCAGGAGCTCCGCCCTTGGGCTTTTTGTTCTTTTTGGCGGTGGCTCGCTTTTCGTGTTCGAGCACAGCGCTCGTCACGTTCTGCACGGTTGTCTGTCGGCACACGGACTTCAGCATCACCGCGTACGTGTCTCCCAGGATAGGGTCCCATTCGTGTGGGGACTCTTCGATCTGCTGCGTCGTGTAGCCTTTTCTTTCCCACACAGACTTCGGCTTGAACACGCCTCCGACTGCCGTGGTGTGGCTCTCGATGATTTTGTCGCTGATTGCAGTGATCAGGCCAGCGCGAACAGTGGTCCAATTCAGCCGACCGCCGCACGCTTGGCGCTGCTCCGCCAAGTGCGCGAAGAACTTGACCGACTCCGCGTCATCAACGGATGGCATGTGCTCCGGCTTTCCGTCCAGATTGCGCCGCAACATGGTTTCGACCGTGTTGCAGCTGGGGCAAAGGACGCGCCTGCCGTGATCCTTCAGCTCGCTAGCTGGCAGCTCGCGGCGGCAGAAGGTGCACGCCTTGTGGCCATCATTGACAGCTGCCATGCCGCGAACAGCGCTAAGAAAACAAAACGGGGCCCCGCTACACCTACTGTGCCAAACAGCTATACGGAACAGCGCCGGGCAAAACACAGTGAGCTATAGCGGAAGGTGCAGGCGAACGCAACTCACACAAGATCGCAACAAATCACAGAGAAGCGAGCGGCCGCGTACAATCCGCGTACATCCGCGTACATTGGCCGGTGGCCCGCGTACATCGCGTACAAAAACAAAGTCTGCAATTCTTGCCAAGGCCAACCCACGATCCCTGTGACTGTCGCATCCGCGTACATCGCGTACATTCGCGTCCCGCCCATCCTTTCCTCCCGCGTACATTGGGCCCCAAGGATCGTCGGAGCCGCGTACATTCCGCGTACAATCCGCGTACAGCGAAATCAGACGGCCGCGCAACGCCGAACAGCACGCGCAACCGAGCCAAGAGCACGCACCGCCAAACAGAGTGCGCACTTCAAGTGTGGACCCGAGCCAACATGTCGAAGCGCGCTTTTTTTGTCTTGCCCACGCATGGAGTCTGGTGTCCGGCCTATGCCTGTAGACAAGCTGTACAAAGCCATTGGCCATGGGTCTAAAAATCCTCTCCTCGGCGGGAGGAGATCTGCCATGCTCACGATCAGCGATCGCACAGATCGCGCCGCCAGCTTGCGAGCTGCGATCACGCGGATCGCGCCGCCAGCTCGCGAGCAGCGATGCAGATCGCGCCACAGCAGCAGCGCAGCCATAGGCCAGGGGCCATCACATGTTGATGATGATCTTGCCCTGCAGTGAGCCGGACCCCTTGCGCTTCTTCTGCCGCGGCTCAGCGCTCGAATCCGAAGAAGACAGCTTCTTCTTCTTCTTCTCCTTCTTCTTTTTCGGCGCTGGCGAAGGGCTGCCAGGAGAGCTGCTGTCCTTCTTGCGCTTGGACTTGTCCTTCTTCTTGCGCCGAGTGGTGGTTGCGCTAGCAGCGCGCTTGACCTTGGGCTGGCTGCAGTCCGGCTCCTCCTGCTTCACCTTGTGGGCGGACGCTGCAGGCTGGCTCTGGCGCTCAGGGTACATTTGGTTGTCCCGGTTCCTTTTGAGCCTTTCGGCAGCCTTTTGCGCCGCTCGCCAGTCCTGACGGGAAGGGCTCTGGCTTTCGTACATTTGCCAGGTGATGCAGTGCAGATTGCTGTAGGTATGCTGGTCCTGGGCTGCAGCCGCCTTGCCAAGCTTCCTCCAGCACCACTGGCAGTGGCCTGCAGGCGCCCCAGCTGGAGCTTTCCCTTTGGTGGCGTTCCCACGGGTGACGCACGCTGAGGTCTTTGGGGGCTCAGCTGGCTCCTTTGGTCGCACCGGCTCAGACGCAGGGGGTGTGTCCGCTGCGTCACTGGTTGGGGAGACTGGTGGCTTGTTTTGGCCAGACTCCTCAGTCTCCGAGTACAAAGTTGAGGTCGCTTTGGCTTCCTCGTCGGCGGCCCTGACCTGCCCAAGGCTGCGCTCGTGACTACAGACCCAAGACCTCAAAATCGAAGCAAAGTACTCCCTCAGATTACTATCAATTGATGAGCTCCAAAGAAGTCTATAAGGCTGTGTGCTTTGGGCAGGGGAGGGGGGTTGTTTAGTTCGTACCATGGCCCCGCGCATCTGGCTACGGATCCACAGACCACGCAGGTCTGCGTCTCCGGCACCCCGCAGGTGCGCCCACAGACCACGCAGGTCTGCGTCTCCGGCACCCCGCAGGTGCGCCCACAGACCACGCAGGTCTGCGTCTCCGGCACCCCGCAGGTGCGCCCACAGACCACGCAGGTCTGCGTCCCCGCAGGTGCGTCCACAGACCACGCAGGTCTGCGTCTCCGGCACCCCGCAGGTGCGCAGGTGTCCGCGTGCAGACCATGCAGGTCTGCGTTCCGGCAGCCCGCCGCCGATGCTGCAGACCACGCAGGTCTGCACCGCACCCCGCAGGTGCCTCCACAGACCACGCAGGTCTGGGCCGCGAGCGCCAGGCAGGCTGACGCCGCAGACCGCGCAGGTCTGCGTTTCCGGCACCGCGCAGGTGCCTCCACAGACTACGCAGGTCTGCGTTACAGACCACGCAGGTCTGGGCCACGACGCGGCCGGCAGCGACTGCATGCCACTCAGGCGCCCTGATGATGCCTCTGCGTCCTATGTGTGGCCTTTTGTCGGGGTTTACTTTTGCATGTGGCTACACCCTTGTCTCACACCCCAAAAGAAAGCCCTCGCCCGACAGCGCGCCTCCTCCTCCGAAGCAAGGCATGCAGGACTGTGCTCATAATTATAAGCCAAACGGCCAGCGGGAGAAGAACGCAATAGCGCAGCCTGTCAGAAGAACATGTTGCGTCTACATGACACGACACGACACACGCGTAAAGCACCAAAGCAATGCGAAGCCAGTGCAATTTTCGACTCACGGACATGGGAATCACTCACCCCCGAGTGTTCACAACAAGCAATCGCAGCGCGCATCTGAACTCAAAATGTGACCTCAACGCTCCGCTTTCGCCAACAGCTTGGCGTGCAGTATGCCGTGTAGCGGCAGCCACTGCAGCCTTTGCTATGCCTTGCTACCAGACTTGCTGGCGCTACCTTGAGTAGAGCCTGCTTTTTGTGAGCGTGGAGCTCGCTTGCGGCAGACTGAGCAGGTCGCTTGAGCGGCGTGGAGCTTTGGCACTTCTGTGACCCCACGGCCGCTTGAGATGCGGCCGGGCGCCGCAGTGCCGAGCAGCTCCCGGCAGGCCTCTTCAGCGCCAAGGTGCGCGCCTTTGCTTTGGCCGCCGGTTTTTTCGAAGCCTTGTTCCTGTGTGCCGGGGGATCTGCCTGTTCTTGCTGCCTGGCCTGCAGCAAGTCTTGTCGCATGCCATCCAAAACTGACGCAGGATCAGGCATTTTCGAACTTGCGTGCGCCTGCGTGGCATCTGGGCCAAGCTGTGCAGCCGTGGCCTGCGTGGGCTGACCTCCTATCGAAGACGGCTGCCCAGGACGCAACGGCTGGCTTTCCACCTCTTCTGCGGGTCGCGAAGACAGCGGGCCGTCCTGCAGAGCCAGAGGCTCTTTTGTCCTCCCCGGCGGAGACAAAAGGGTGATGCGCGGCTGCACTGGCGCGGGCGCCCTGGCCGTGGCGCCCTGAAAGCCGGATGCCATCGCCGCCATGAACTGGCCCAAAGCAGCGACAGTGCTACCGGACGTTTCCGCCACTCTGCTCCCGTTTTGCTGGTCCCCTGTCAGGCGCGAAGTTTTACGCAGCGGCCACGCCGCAGCCTTGCCCGACAGCTCATCCATGCGTGAGCAAGGGGCCGGTGCTCCTTCCGGGAACGCAAGAATGAGAAGCTCACGGGGCAACTCCTCAACCAACGCAGGTAGCACCTGCAAATAGTTAGGAGGCTGCGGGTGCGAGGCGAGCAGCTTCTTGATCTTAAGCCGATTCTGGGTCAGCAGCTCAAACATCTGACTGGAAGATGGCTGCTGAGAGCCCACACACCACACCGTTGCAAGCATGATGGCCAGCGTGCCCTCCGTGGGATGCCTTAGGCCCAGCTTAGCAGAATGGTGCGTCAGTCGCTCAAGAGCTGCCGCGCGTTCTTGCTG